TCAGACCATATGATTGGTGCACAATCCGGTATGGCTCTTGATACACAGTCAGCTAGTGTTCATAAACCAGTCCATTTACCTAATGGCATTGTAGTACCTGTACAAGCTCAAGGATCTATCAAGATTACTAATCATATTGATCTAGAGAATGCTTTCCTTGTTTCGGATTTTAATTGCAATTTGGTATCTGTGAGCAAACTCACTAATCAACTGAATTGTGTGGCTTTGTTTTTTCCCACCTTTTGTGTCCTACAGGACCTTATCACTAAGAAACCGATTGGAGTGACTAAAATGAGGGATGGTCTCTACCACTTTACTGGACTTCCAAACTCTACAGCTTTACATATCAGCTCAATTGTTTTTAATTCTCAATTGTGGCATTATAGGTTAGGACATGTTACCTATGATCAATTGTCATTGATTCAAGAATTGCATGTTTCTCCATCTGTAACTATTGTATGTTGTGATGCATGTAATCATGCTAAGCTTACAAGATTACCTTTTCCACTTAGCTATAATAAAAGCACTAAACCTTTCCAAATTATTCATTGTGATATTGGGCGAGGATACCGGGTGCCATCCCACTCTAGGGCTTGTTATTTTCTCTCTATTGTAGACGACTACAGTCGAGCCACTTGGGTCTATTTGATGGCACATAAGTCAGATACTTTATAGTTTCTCACTATGTTCTGTGAAATGGTAAAGACTCAATTTCACGCCTTGGTTCAAACAATCAAATCTGATAATGGGCTTGAGTTCTTGTTTGAATCCATTTAGACTTATTTTCAGCACAATGGCATTCTTCATCAGCAAACATGTGTTGACACCCCTCAACAGAATGGGGTAGTGGAGCGGAAACACTGCCCTTTACTTGAAATGGCATGTGCCATACGGTTCCAAGCTGGGCTTCCAATACAATTTTGGGGTGAATGTGTGCTTACTGCCACTTAATTAATAAATTACTTGCCTACACCACAGTTGCATGGGAAATCCCCTTATGAGACATTGCATGGTAAGCCTTCTACATATAACCACTTAAGGGTATTCGGTTGTTTGTGTTATGCCCGAGTTCAAGGCAAACCCCATGATAAATTTGTTGTGTGAGCCCATCATTGTATTTTCATGGGCTAACTGCAAGGACAAAAAGTTAGTGGCTATTTAACCTTGATAACAAGGAGTTCTTTGTTTCACGAGATGTTCATTTCTACGAGGATCAATTTCCTTTCTTAAACATCCCAAATACCCCACAGACCTCTGATCAACCAGTAGTATCTCTTCCCATAACTGATGGCATTCCTGTTGATACCAATGCAACCCATAATTATCAGCCCGCTACAGCCCATGATAAGCCTTCTCCAATCATCAATGGGTCTTAAGTAGAACCTAACCGCACTCTCACTCCACCTATACGACGGTCCAGCCGCCCCATTCGACCCCCCAAGCGATTCCAAGAGTTTGTCTATCCTACCTTACAATCCAATGGTCCAACAAACCCCAACACACAACATCCCATATCACATTTTATTGGGCCTTCACCATCAACTCATTCATCTACCTTGTTAAACACCACAGAACCACAAAGCTATGCTGAAGCCGCTTCACATCCTAACTAGCAACAAGCCATGCATGATGAATTAATAGCCCTTGCCAGAAATGGTACTTGGACTCTAACCTCTTTACCACCGGGAAAATCCCCAATGGTTTGTAACTGGGTATATAAGCTCAAACTTAAACCTGATGGGACTATTGATCGTTACAAAGCCCAATTATTCGCCAAAGGTTATACCTAAACTCCTGGAGTTGATTACAACGACACCTACGCTCCTGTGGCAAAGTTGGTTACAATGAGATGTCTTTTAGCCTTGGCTACAACTTGTCATTGAGATCTTCACCGAATGGAGGTAAGTAATGCTTTTTTGCATGGTAACTTACTTGAAAAAGTTTACATGGTGCCACCTCCGGGTTTCTTACCAACGAGTGATACACAAGTTTGTCGTCTTCAAAAATCAATCTATGGACTCAAACAAACGTACCACAACTGGTTTGACACATTGGCCACAACATTAAAGCATCATGGTTTTCTTTAGTCTATACTTGATTGCACATTGTTTGTTTCTTCTCGGCCAAACAGTTTCTTGGCAGTTCTTGTATATGTCGATGATATAATCATTGTCAGAAATGACCCCAATCACATAGCTAGACTTAAAAATTATCTCAATAACTGCTTCCACATTAAAGAACTTGGAGAACTTTGGTACTTCCTTGGCATTGGAATCTCCAGGTCTCCAGACGACATCTTTCTTTGCCAAAGGAAATACACTCCGGACATCTTATCTGAGAGGGGCATGCTAGGGTGTCGTCCAAGTTCTTTTCCTATTTTTTAGTACATGTTCTCAGTCAGTTCATGAGCAAGCCTAAACAAGCTCACTATGATGTTGCAATTCATGTTCTTAGATATTTGAAGTCCACACCGGATCATGGTATCTCCCTCTCTTCCAACAATGACCTAGTCATTCGTGGCTACTATGATTCAGACTGGCCAGGATGTCCTGTCACTAGGCAATCAACAACAGGTTATTTCACCATGCTGGGCTCTTCACCTATTTCTTGGAAGACACGTAGGCAACCTATAATCTCAAAATCTTCAGCAGAAGCTGAATACCGTTCCTTGGCTTCTCTAACTAGTGAACTAATTTGGCTTAAGAGACTTTTTCAGGATCTTGAATTAAACCATATTCAGCCCATGACTGTCTTGTGCGACAATAAGGCAGCCTTCTATATTGCTTCCAACCCGGTATTCCATGAGTGAACAAAGCATATTGAGATTGACGATCACTTTGTCCAAAAACATATCCAAGTTCGGACCATTGGTACCTCCCATATTTCCACCAAAGTCCAACGAGTGGATGTCTTCACCAAGGCCTTGGGCAACGATCAATTTCACATGTTAAAGTCCAAGTTGGGTGTCAGTCCTCCCCATCTCCAACTTGAGGGGGAGTATTACAGAATTTATTATCCACATATATAATTCAGTTATAACAGCTGTAACTTACATTCTAGAGTCTTCTGTAATACATTATAAATATCTGTTATTCTGCTCATATCAAGATTAATACAAACTTCCATTAATTTTACAATTCAACAATTAGTTGACCAATTCAATGTTTTTGTTTTTTTATACAAACCACGTGAAAAATGAAACCTGACAAATCATGACCAATTCCCACGTTGATGACTGTCTTAAAACCATGGCCATTCCCTACTTCAAAATTCAAAATTCAAATGTAATTGCAATCTGTACTGTTAAAGACTGAAGAGTATTCCTTGAAAAAAAAAGCTTGAGGAATAGTTGCCTGGAAGCAAATTGATTTCCGAAAAGATTCCTAGAATTGAGATGTAAAGAAAAGGCACCGCATATATACAAACCCTAGGTTGGCTTCAAGAGATACGTGGCCAGTCGTCCAAACCTTCCAAACTTCGATGTCTTGATCCAATCAAATGGACCCCTCCAGTCTGATGTCTGAACCTGAAAAAAGATAGTTTCCCAGCTTTCAAGATTCAACATTGTCTTATATCAGCCAGCCAGAGAAGACAAACAGCCATTAATTTGGCCTTATTCTTTATGGTTTGGGTCCTTATTGAGAGGATAATGAACAGGCGCTGCATGTGATGTGGCTTTGGACGTGCATGAATGCACAATAAGTGTAACAATAATTAGTAAATTAATTATTATATTTTAATTGTGATTAATCTATTACTAGTTAAATTACTTCAACCTCCTCTATGCTTTCTAACAAATGCTTTTAACCTTTTTTCTATACTTTGCTTTGATTTAGACACCTTCTGTTATTGTGATGTGGATGGAACAATGAAATTATTGTTATGCCCTTATCTCTCTTTGGATAGAAAAATACCACGTTTCATATATCAATTTCACCCTTCAATTGTACTAAATAAGAAACATACTCCACTTACCTCTTTAAGTTACTCAAACATTGTCTTTGTTGTTTAGAAGGCTAAGTTTGCAATGAATATGTGAAAAGTCTCTTGAGGGTATTTTAGTCAATAGATACTTATAATATTATCATCTATGGGTAACAAAGAATTTTAAAATGTTTAAAAGTATGGTTTTCAAAATTGGACCGGACTGGATGTAGGATCAAAAAACCAGAAACCAGTTAGGTGATTAGTTCCGTTTTACCCAAGAATTGTTATTTCGCCACAAATCGTTGATTGGTCAGCAAACCGTTGACTCGGGCAATCAAACCATTCAAACCATCCAACGATTTTGATCGTTTTTTATTTTTTAAATTTTTTATTTTTTTGTCAAAGTAGGCCATCTGTTAGGTTTGAACAGTCGAACTGTTTGACCTGGAAACCAAGCCCCTAACCGGTTTGTTGTTTGATTTGATTTTAAAAACCTTGTTTATAAATATGATATTATTGTATAATTTCTTCCAAAATGTCTAGAGAGAAATTTGGAGAGGTTAAAATGGGCTTGAATCTGCTGCTCACGAGCTGTTACAACTGTATATTGAAAATATTTCTTTTAGATAAATGCTTCTAATAATACATGGTGGTGGTTTTCTCTCAACTGGGGATCGGGATGTGGGAATAATTTGTAGGTAATGGATTCAGAATAGGTTAAAGAACGAATCACCTACCAACAAAATATATTCCAACACCCTACCAACATCATCAGACATCGAACATCCCACTTTTATAGTGTGCCCCGATTTTATAGTAAGATGTGGTCCACATTAGAAAATTGAGGTAGTAGGAAGGTGATGCAAATATTGTATCATTTTTATTACCATACGGTGCAAACAAGGAAAAAGTATAAGTTTTTTTTGGTAGAAAAAAAAAAAAAACAACTTTGTATCAGATATAAGTGGAAATCATAAATTACGAATAATTAGAGTTTGTCCACAGCTTGCACAGTGCACACATGTGAAGGAAACCACACGCCTTCTGTGGGCTGTGGCTGAGTGGCTCTTTCCAAGCCATCATGTCCCAATCAAAAGCCATTCAGTCAGAGTCCTCCTCTTTCCTCCTCTTTCCTCCCCCCCGGCCTTCACTTTTGTCCTAACACCGAAACCATCTCTCCGCCAGTAACATTTCTGAAACCTCTCTCTCTCTCTCTTTCCGCCAAACCCAAAAAAGAGTGAAAGAAGAAGAAGGAAAACGAGAACCAGAACCCATTTGGCATTTGCCCTCTCTGACCCTGCCTTCCAATTCCTTCAAAATGGAGGAAGAAGGACCCTCGGTAGATCGTGAATTCGACCGGTCACCTCTCCTGCAATACCCCAACAGGAGGAATTCCAGAAACAGCAATGAGAATAGCAGCAACAGCAGGTTTTCTGTTTTGATAAGCCGGGCGACTAGCCGGCGAATCATGCGAGAGCCGTCGATGTTCGTGCGAGAGACCGCTGAGCTCCAATTGGAGGAGCGGCAAACGGATTGGGGCTACTCGAAGCCTGTTGTCTTCTTGGATGTAATTTGGAACCTGGCATTCGTGCTGGTGTCTGTTGTCGTGCTCTCGTCGACGATTAAGGAGCGGCCGTCGACCCCTTTGAGGGTTTGGATTGGTGGGTATGCGCTGCAGTGCCTTTTGCATGTGGGTTTTGTTTATCTTGAGTATCAGAGGAGGAATTTAGCTGGTCATGAAGGTGATGTTGGGGTCTCAGAGTCCGAAAGCCAAGGCAGGTATTGGGTTTTCTTAATTCTTCTCCTTTGTTGTCTTTTCTTTTCCTTTTAATTTGCACTGTTTGAATTTTACTACATTCTTATTGATGTCATCTCTGTGCTCTGTTCTTGTATTTCTGCATTGTTTATTGGGTATAAGAAAATCTATACCCATAGTTTCTTTTAATTTTATTTGCTTATATTTGTATAAATTTGTGTACACCCAGGTTGGGTTTTCTGTTTTTCTTAAATTGATTCTATTGTGATGATTCCCCCCTTCTAAATTGTGCATTTGTTCTCCTTTCTCTGTAACGAGTATGAGAATCCTTTTGTACTTTATACACATTTTGGAAGTGATCAACTGCCTGGTTCTTGTGGTTTGGCTAATGTCCACACTTTCTATCATCCTGGTATTACTTCTTTTAGACAGCATCAGCTTCTACCATGCAAATGCCTATTTTCTTATCGAATAATAAAACTGTTTACTCTGTGGGTTAGAAGATCTATTGGACCGAAATGAACTCAATTTAATATTTGAAAGTTCCTAGTAACTGACTGACTGTAACGTACAATTCTCTATAGTGAGATGAATAAAAACTTCACCAATCATATAACCAAAATAAACAACTCAAATCCTACTCAATGAGAGCAGGACACGACCAAAACAGAACCTCTTGTAAGAAGAGGCAGCTCATAACTTATGCAACAGCAACTTAAAACCAAATTAACTATGGAGGGAGCTAGATCCCCAATAAAGCTCATCTCTTCCTGTACTTTTCTCGTCCTGATTCTCAGATCTATCTGAATGAGATGCTTTCATTTGATTCTAGAGCTTTTGCTATCTCACATATTATCAAATAGTCCATGGTGCCTCAGTCTCGTTGTCTCACACCTAAAGCTTTCAATGAAAATCTTGGAGCCACCCTCAGGGCCTCAACCTTATCACCAGACTAAGAACTAGGTTGAGGGACTTTATATAAGCAAGAACCAAGTCACCTGACCCTATACTATAGTGCCTAAAATGCCAAATGATCTTCCTCTACTGTATTCCTGAAGGCTCTAGTTACAGTTACTTTTTCATGGCCTCAGGTTTCCTAATAACTATCCATCAAAATTAAAGCTTTGCTGCTCCTTGAGGAGTAAGTAACTAAGTTTCAGAGGGAAGTTGCCATCTAGTAGAGGAGACTGCCATGTAAGCCTTGAACAATATCATCAAAGGACAAATCTTTGAACTCCTCACTACTGCACAATTATTGTGCCACTCCAGGTTTTCCATTAGGCCAAAGAAAAACTCTTTTGTTATACCTTACACAGTGATTTAAAAGGCACATCTGAGGCGAACAGGCAAGGCACATTTTAGGGTAGGCGCCTCGCCTAGGTCCTAGGCACAGCACTTTCAAAAGGCGCATGCCTGATGCATCTTGGCCCAGGTGTGTGCCTTTTGAGAACTGTACGTTTTTTTACTTTTTTTGAACCTAGCGGCTGGGTCGGGGGTCCCCCTATTTGATAATGTTGTTCATTCATTCATCTTAACAAAACATCTCTTTAAAAGGCAATTAAAATTATAAAATCATTATTTTTTGAGTGAGAATTAAGAATTTAAGACCTGAACATGGACTTGTTTGGGCTTTCCTCGAGGGGCATGGCACATAGGCGACTCATCACTTGTAGAATCAGGAATGTAATATGTTTTACATCACATTAGCTACTTGAAGTAATGCAATTGAGGGAAAAAAAAGAGATTGTGGGCTTTACATGCTTGAAAATATTTTATATGTTTGGTTTTATTTTTAAATTTTCATTTGAGTATGCTTTACATGTTATGTTTATGTATTTTAATTTTAGATAATAGGTTTTTTAAGCCATTAATTTTAAAATTTAAGTTTATATTTCTTATTAATATTATGTTTTATATTTTTTATTTTTTTTGCATTTTTTGAATTTTCTGACATCTTTTTTTATTTTTTAGCATTTTTTTTGGTATTTTTGCACCTTGCTTCAAGCAGGTGCGCGCCTCGCCTTGCGCCTCTCGCCTCCGGGCCCTTGCGCCTTGCGCTTTTAAAACACTGACCTTACATTTCCCCCCGCCCCTCAAATCTGTGTAGTGTAAGAACATGTTAGGGCAGGCTTCCCCAAACTTGACTTTGATGAAAGCAATTGGGGAAATCTAGGGAATTTAAGAGTGGGAGGAATTTTCAAAAATGAGGGTCATGTTGTTGCATTATTCTTAGGTCTGATTAGGGTAGGGGACTTCTTAAGAGCTGAAATATGGCAGTAATGGAAGGTGCAAAAGAGATGAATGTGAAAAAGTTGATAATTGAATGAGACTCAAAACTGGTGGTATAGTGGCTGCAGAGAAGGGAGGCTTCTTTGTGGTCCTACAGAAACAAAGTGAAAAAGTTCAGCTGGTTGACTAGAGATATGGAGCTGAAAGTACAACGGATTCCAAGGGCAGCCAATTGCATGGATGATGTGATAGCAAAGCAAGGGGTGGGGAGACACCAAATGTTCTGGGCACAGTTGCAAGATAATGAAAACGAGAGAGTAGAGATAACTCCTTATCTCTATGAGAGTGTTGTACAGTCACAACTCTTGTATTTAATAAAATTGCTGGTTATTGATAAAAAAAGAACACATGACAAAGGGGTTGTAGTTTTACCCACTCTGCAAGCCCTTTTTTTTTCTTAAAACTAGAAAACCAACATGCTGATTGGAAAGTCTCCTCCATTGTCAGTTGTGAATGCATAATGCATGTAATAATTTCTGTTTCAAGAGTGGGTAGTTTTACTTCAGAATATATAGTGAAGCACTTTTATTACGTATGCACATCTTAGCATACCTTGCATGCAATTTAGTATGTTGAAGTAAATTTTTTTATTTATTTTTGATAAGTATGTTGAGTTATTGAAGACAATGGAGACAGTGTATGAATATGGACAACCATTGGTCAGGGAATTTCTAGCATTTCCAGAAGTCATCTTTGGCTGATGCAGAATGTGCTGGAATGATATTGCTGCATTTGTATGATAAAGAACTCATTTGCAGATTCAGTGAGACTGAATTTGTATGATGTATTTCAAGTGAAGAGATGGTTAGATAAGTCTTCACAGAATTGAGTGATGGTGTCTTTGAGAGGGTGGATGGTTAGAGAAGTATTTGGTTGGTCATTTTGCCAATTCTGATCCTGACGAAGTGGAGTTACTAAGATGGGTCAGATTGGAGTGGAAAGTGAAAGAGAAAGTCCAGGTGAAAAAGTTAAATGCGGGGTTTTTTCTCTGTATCTTGAGTAGCAAGGAGAAGGTAGAGGATGTCTTGGATTGTGAGTCTGCTAAAGTCAGGTTGCTAGATCTCAGATTGGGAAAATGGTATCCGTTGGTGTGGGCAATCAGAGAAGTGGGTTCTAAGAGCCTTCTGTGGATCAATGTCTTCAGGATTCCTCTAAATGCCTGGAATATACAAACTTTTTGTGCTGTGGGAAATGCTTGTGGCTCCTTAAGAAAAATTGATGCTTGCACATGCTGGATGAAGAACCTAGTATCAGAAAGAATACTGATCGAAGTTGAGGATGTTCATTTGGTTCCATCATGCCTTGTGTTGAATTTTGCAGGGGAGTGGTACGATGGTTGGAGGAGAATTCAGTTTTTATGCCTTGTTGTGCTCAGGAGTTCAAATGCCTTTTAGAAGTTGGAGGGGATGCAATTGTGCAGGAGCTCAGGGTGTTGTAGGAGAAGACAATGGAAGTTGAAGGGTTGACATGTTGGACAATCTCGTGGAGGATAGAGTTGGGAATCAAGAGAGGGTTGGGGGGGGGTAAAATGGAAATTTTGAGGGAAGTGAAGAGCCTTTGAGTAATAAGGGGCACGTGGCAGGAGCATTTAAGAAAGGGGTGGTGCTTGAAGAGACTGAAGGGGCTTCTTTGAGATTGGGTGGAAAACAGTTAATTGGTGGGGCCTGCTTGAGGAGAATGCTTTGGCCTTTGGGCCTTCAATGTTATAAAGACATGGGCTTAAGGGTGAAGTATTTAAGAAAATTTAAGAATGGTGGGGCCTGAGGTAAATTTAGAGGTGAGGTTGGATTTTGAGGGAGAAGAGAAGAGGGCAGGCAACAAGCAACTTCCAGATTGATGAGTTCTTTTGAGCGACTGATAAACGCAACCACTGGTTTGTAGGAGGTTGTAGCTATTGGCACATCTATAGGTGTTAACAACTTTGTGAATCTTGAGGCTTTGCCTCTTTGAGGCATGAGGACATTCCCCTTGGTAAGCTGATTACGTTCAGGTCTCCTGAACTCTGTTGGTGCTGTGCCAGGTATGAGTTCTTCTGTTCCTCTGGAGTTGTGCCAGGAGAATAGGGTCTTAGGTCAGTTTTGAATGCGGGAGTTTCAGCGGATTTGGAGTTGGGACATGGGATAATGAATACAACCAAATAACAGGTGTTAAGATAATGAAGATCTCTCATTGCCAGCAAATATGGTGTGAGTTGGGGCAATTGGAGAACTAGGGACCCTCCTCCTAACTGGGGTAGCTGTCTGTGGAAAGGGATAATGAAGAACTTTTCAGCTCTGGCCAGGGGGGTCTCAGTTAGGGTTGGTAATGGTAACATGACCAAATTCTGGAAGGACCCTTGGTGCTCAGATGTTCCTCTTGCTGAGTCCTTCCCATTCCTCTTCCAGTGTGCTTCAGATCAAGAGGCCTCAGTTGCAGAGTGCTATAGTATTTCTGGTGGTTCAGTTCTTTGGACTCCCTCATTTCGAAGAAATCTCTTTGATTGGGAGGTGGAAGAGGCAGTGAATCTCTTGACCTGTCTTCAAAACCAAGAGTTGGATTATAGTTCAGAGGATAAGTGGCATTGGAAGTGGAATTCTGATGGGATGTTTTCTGTTAAATCTTTGGCTGCTATGCTTGGTAGGAGGGGTGCTCCTGATTTCCCAGTTCGGCAAGTGTGGAATCCCAACAGCCCGACTAAAGCCAGCTTCCTAGTTTGGCCTATGGCTCTTAATAAATGCCTTTCTAAGGAGAACCTTGTGAGAAGGGGAATTCAGGTTCCGGACTTGTCTTGCAGTTTATGTAGGAGCAGTGCTGGATCTACTGATCATTTGTGCATCCCCTGCCCGTTTTCTGCTCAGTTGTTGAACCATTTCCTCAACTCTATGAAGGTTTGTTGGGTGATGCTGAGGTCAGTAAAAGAGCTGTTGTGTTTCTGGCAGATTATGGGTTTGAGCAAGAAAAAGAAGACTATTGGGAAGATGATTCCAATTGCTGTAATTTGGTGCATCTGGACCAAGAGGAATAGAAGGGTTTTCAGTAACAAGTTTCTAAGTCTGGAGGACTTAACTCAGAAGTTAGTGGGCAAGCTGATTTCTTGGTTGTCTGTGGCTGCAGATTTTAGAAACTGTAATGTGTCAGATGTATTATTTTCTTTTTCTTGATGGGTCGTGTAATTGCTGATTAGATCGGTCAGCCTGTTCTAGGACTGATCTCAGCCTCTTGTGTGTATTTCCTTCTCAATAAATATTACTTTACCTTTTCCAAAAAAAATGAGAGAATTTATTAAATAAGAATCAATGGAAACAGATTATACAATGAAGCTTCCCAAAGAGAGGCACAAGCTGCAGTGTCAATAACAGAGAAGAATTACAGTTGAGCCCAAAAGAGATGGCCCCTATGCACCCCTTGCTTAGCTAAGTAATCCATCATCCCATTAGCCAATTTCCTTTCCCAATGAATTCTTGGAGTCAAATTTGTGGCATTTAAGTCTTTTCACTAATTCCCTGTAAGACTATATTTACAGAGTCCGGATCGTTGAGCCACCCAATTATCAACTTGGAATCCCCTTCAATTAATAGTTTGTCAATGTTTTAGCTCTCCAGCAATCTGTACTCCCTGCAAGACTGCTTGAAACTCTCTGGATGGAGTCCCACACTCCTACTAGACTTGAATATAGAGCAATTATATGACCCTCGACATTCCTGAACACACACCCCCTATTCTTAGAGGCCATTGATTGCCAAAGCTGCTGCCATCAATGTTAAGCTTGATAAATCCTTCTTCAGGAGGGACCCATTCTGCAGTAGGCCTTACCTCAACCATTGAACCACTTGCTACAACTTTCCAATTTTGCCAAATATCATCAAAGGGCCAATGGACCATTGGGAGAATAACTCCAATGTTTTGGCCCAGTTTATGGTCCTACTTACAACCAAATCCCAAATGTCCTCCACATTTCTTTCCTTATCATTAAAAATTCTAGCATTTGTCTCCTCTCAGATAGTCCGCACCAAGGCAGCCCTGGCACATCTGCATAGTACTCTACCCCTTCTTTTAGGCCATCTGAAATTTGCAGGGTCAAGTAGGTTGCTGACCTGCAAAGGTAAGTTCCACCTGCACCCAAAGAGTACAAAGCATTTAGCCCCTATTAACAATTCCAAGGCTATACCTTACAAATATATCTCTTATCTACCTGATAATTTTCTAGGAACCTCCCTCTAAAATGACCTGCTTTATCCCCAAAGCAATCTGAAGTCTGCAGTCTTGGAGCTGTTTTTCTTTTGAAGAATTGGTCAAATGATTAGGTAGCGATTTATTCATGGTAGTGGATGATGGTGCCCCTTGATCTTATATGTGGGTTTAACATGTTCCATTTCATACGTTCTTCTATTTACTTGTGGCTAATTGCCAGATTCATATTTTTTTACTATCTGTACCACTGGTGATTTAAAAAGCGTGCCTAGGTGCACAAGTATGCGCCTCGCCTAGGTCCTAGGCAAAGTATTTTCAAAAGGCGCTCGCCTGGTGTGCCTAGGCATGTTCTTAGTGCCAAGGTTCAAAGTATCGACATGTATTGGCCTGCATCGGCCGGTACGTATTGTTCCGGGAGGTCCCCAATACGCCCCTACAGAGGGTGTATCGGGGTTCTGACCGGTTTAGGGGGTGGAGGAGCCTTAAACTGGCCCCCCTGAACCGGTTTTGAAAAAAAAATAAAAAAAAAAGTATTGATATCGCCCGATATGCCCCCTATCGACGTATCGGGCATATCGATATTTGAACCTTGCTTGGTGCGCTTTGCTCTTCAGCCTTTTTGTTTTTTTTTTCTTGTGTTTAGCAGCTGGGCCGAGGCCTCTTGCCCTGGACCCCTGGCCAAGCCCCTCAAGACAAGTCCAAAGGCGACTTGTTTGGGCTTGCCTCGAGGGGCTTGGTACAAAAGCGACTCCTAGAATCAATAATGCATAACGTTTAACATTATATTTTTTTTGATAATTGAACGTTTAACGTTTAACATTATATTAGCTATTTGAAGTAATGCAATTGGGAAAAAAAATAAAGAGATTAAGAGTTTACATTCTTGAATAGGTTTTATATGTTATGCTTGATTTTATTTTTAAATTTTCATTTTAAATATGTTTTACATGTTATGTTTATATAATTGAATTTGAGATAATAGCTTTTTTAAATAATTTATTTTAAAATTTAAGTTAAAAATTTAATTAATAATTTGTTTAATATTTTGATAATTTGCATTTTTTTTTATTTTGATTTATTTATTTATTTTTTGCGTTTTGCCCCTTGCTTCAAAAAGGTATGCGCCTCGCCTCGCCTTGTGTCTTGGGCGCAAAATGGCCCTTGTGCTTTTTTTGCGCCTTTCGCTTTTAAAACACTACATACTACACAAACACTTATGATGTGTTTCATTGCAGTGCAAATTTGTTTGCATTGATGCAAAACTATGTTTGTGCAAATGATTTGGATGCAGATTCTGTTTTTTTTTTTTTGTTTCAAATTTTACCTTATTTTGTTTGATTGCAGTACAAATGAAGTAAAATAAGACCTGAAGCAAACTAAAGTAAAACCCAAAACAAAATTAAACCAGAATTTTCATTTTTTTCATTTGCATTCTCATGCATTTGTAACAATAACAATAACAATAATAATAATAATAATAATAATAATAATAATAATAATAATAACCAATCAAATATTTGTTCTATCGTTTTAAGTAGGGGTGCTCACGGTTTGGTTAACCAAACTGTGGGCTTATTTTAGAAACTGAACCGGGACCGGTTTTTGGAAACCGGTAACCAGAACTGAACCGATCGGCCCGGTTTTTGGAAAACAGTAACCAGAACTGAACCAAAGCCGATCGGTTAACCGTTGGTTCAGTTTGTCGATTTTTTGGTTTTTTTTATTATTTACAATATATACTATAGAAAAATATATAAATATATAATAAAAATAGAAATATAAAATATTAGATTTTAAATAATAAATAATATATTATATATTATAAATATATAATTATGTATACAATGCATATTTATTAATTTATAATGTATAGAAAATATAATAATAATATATATACATAAATATACGTATACCGGTTGGTTCGGTTAACCACTGGTTTTCTATTTTGGTTAACTGAAACCAAACCGGTACCTTCGGTTTTTTTTTAAAAAAATATCGAACTGACCGGTTTGGTTAACCAAATTTTCGGTTCGGTTTGGTTTTTTGGTTTTTCTTGCTCAACTCTAGTTTTAAGCACATTATTTTTATTTTTATCTCTTTTATTTGAGGAATTGCATTTACCTGTATTGGAGGTCAGGCACTGCACAAAAGCTTACTTTGTTACTTTTGTTAAACATAAACTTCCTAAAAAACACTCGATGATTTTATCTTAATATAGCAAATAGAAAGAGCTGCTCCAGATCCTTTATCTCTTTGTCATTTCATTAGAGAAACCAGATCTGTAGTGTCAATGATGAACATCTTGTTCTAGAGATCTCCTAAATTAGCTAACACTCTAGCAGGTCTCTTTTCTAGACATTGATTGAGAGGTATCGGTTGTTTTTGGTGACAACTATCTTGAACGTTGAGTGGGTTGAGGTGTGTTGATGTTTTTATTGGCTTTTTATGCTGGAAGTTGCTTCTTTTGTGGTTGTCTAGTTTTATTTGTCTGTATATTTATTCTTGTGGTCTTTAATGAAGATTCTGTTATGTTTCCAAAAGGAAAAAAAAATTAAAATCACATAATAAAAGATTTTCTTTCCTAACTCTTACTTTCTGCTTTTCAGTGTTGCAAAAAGGTTGGAGTCCATGAATACGATGGTTTCATTTTTCTGGTGGGTGATTGGTTTCTATTGGATTGTTGTGGGTGGCCAAGCACTTCTGCAGGATGCTCCACGTCTCTACTGGTAAGAGCTCCATGCCTGGAGTTTCATTTTCTCTCTGAAACATTTTGCAATGGAATTCCCATAGAAATTTTATTGTTGTCAAGCAAAATAACTCAACTGGAGTCTGGAGCACTGACTCTCATTATTCTTGAGCCCAAATATACTTGCAAAATGGGGCCCTATAAATCATATGGAAATTGAGAGAATGTAAAAGAAACAAAAGGTATTTTCTAATGTGAATTGTTTTTCTTATCGTGAGTTCCAAAAACAAATAGATGGTTTGAAAAAAATTGTTTCTTAAAACAAAAATACAGAAAACATGTTCTTGATTGTATATGTTTTTTTGTTTCCAAAACTGAAAACAAAACACGTGTTTTATGAAACATATTTTCATCTGGTCATTGATATCATGCTTCATAGATCATATAATTTCTCTATTCTAAAATTTGTTTTTTGTTATAGAAATCATTATTTTGATGGTTTCAAAAAACGTGGATTGTTTTTTTTTTTTTTTATAGTTAAACAGCACCGAGAAAAGGTCCAAGGATTTAATCTAGTGTATCACCCTTATTTCTATGCAAACCTTAATTGCCTCCAGTTGTTTTCCTCTTCCTTGAAAGTTCTTGCATTTCTTTCTTCCCATATTGTCCATAATACAGCACCCTAAAACACTTCCACATTACTCTCTCTCTCTCTCTCTCTCTCTCTTTCTCTCTTCCTTGGCCATCTGAAAATTGCCCCTGCAAACAAACATTCCAAACTAATAGGTAGAGTCCACCTGCACCCAAAAAGAGAAAAGCACTAATCCCAAATAGAGGTAACAAATGAATAGGAGATAAAAAGTTGCTCAGCAGTTTCTCATTTGCCTTACAGAGAATGCGCCTGTTTGGGGACAAATACACATTTTTCCTTATTTTCTACAATATGTCCAAGTGTTGATTTTTCCATGAAAAACCTCCTAACAGAAAGCCTCTATTTTTTAAAGGAACAGGTTTACACCAAACCTCAAGCATCAGAAAAGAGGACTCACTGGAAATAGTGCAAACTAGGGAATGAAAAAATGTAGCACAAGAGAAAGCACCTTTGGATCAGGGTCCAGACTCTCTCATCAGGAAGAGAGGTTTAGCAACCACTGACTCAAGGATTTGAAGTAGATCTGCGACTAGGGAACACTCAAACTCTCTTAACCCTCTTCTGAAACCCAGGTTCCATGCCACCCTAGCAGATAAAGAATAAAAGGAAGAGATAGGCATATTTTTAAGTGATGAATTAACATAAAGAGAAGGGAAATTTAAAAGTAGCATTTCCCACCCAAATGTCCTAAAACAGAATTTTAGACCCTGAGTAACAATCATACCTGATGAGGTTAAGGAAGACCAGTAGATTGCATGAATAGCTTTCCAAGGAGAAGCCAAAGTTGCTCTGTTGGATAAACCAGCATCCCAATTGTTTTGCAGCAACCCAATGTATGCTTACTATCACCTTATGACAAAGCTTCTCACTTTCCAAGGGTAGTCTCCACAACCATTTCCCTAACAAGGCTTGATTTTTATGAGTCACATTGCCTACCCCTAGTCCTTGTTCCTTGCTTGTGCAAACTAGTTCCCACTTCACTAGATTTTCCTTCTTCCCTTCTCTAGGATCTCAAAGAAAATCCCTCATTATCTTTTCCAACAAATTTGCTATTTTCTTGGGTATCTTAAACATTGAAAGGAAGTAAACTGGAACTGGAAGGTTTAAAAGGTAGATCTCATAAGGTTATTCTCCCACCTAGAGAAATATAGTTATGCTTCCAAGTTGCTAACCTTTTTTCAAACCTTTCTGTCACCGGTGCCTGAAAACTACCACTCCTTGGATTATCCCCCAAAGGAAAACCTAGTTACTTCAAGGGCCAAGCACTAGTTTGACAACCTAGGACTTCAGCAATTGCTTCTACTTCAGAGTCTTACAAATTCACCCCAGCTACACAACTCTTCTCCAGGTTTATTTTCAAACTAGATATTTTCTCAAAAAGACTCAGTAACAGTTTCAGTCTCCTCACTTGTTGCAAATCAATCCTATCACAAAAGATTATTGTATCATCTACAAAAATTCTCCACCCTCTCATTAACCTCTCCTGATTTGCTTTGGAGATAAACCTACTTAGGACATTTGCAATTAAAGTGAAAAGGAAAGGTAAAAGTGGGTCTCCTTGTCTTAGGCCTCTAGAAATTGGGAAGAAATCCTTTTCCACACCATTAACTAACACTGATCCTTAAGAGACCTCTTAAAGAGTGACTTGAAATGCTCAACATAAATATTTGCAACATCCTCTTGGTTTATGACCTCCTCCCCATCCCTAACCGGTTTGGATACAAAATTGTTTTTCTTTCTTTCATTTTCTATAGCATGAAGTAAACTTGTATTTCCGTCTCCCTCTTTAATCAACTTATATCTTGATTTCTGTCTTCAACTAATCTCTTCCCTCAAAAGAGTGTCTTCAAAATCCTTTTTTTAGTACCATATTTGGGACTTCTCCTCCTCACCTAGTCCTGTTTGAGCTTCCTTCTTGTCTAAAAAATCAATTTGGACCACTAAAGATTCTTTTTTTTCTTCCACCCTCCCAAAGTCAACCCTATTCTACACTTTTAATTTAACTTTCAACCTTTGTAGCCTTTTATGAAACCTAACTCCTTTCCAATTGAAGCCCACCAACTCCTCTTTCTACCAGTTTCTATCCTATGTAAAAAATCCGGGTGGGCAAGCACATATTTTCAAACTGAAAGGGAGAAGGGCCTCCCCCCATAATTACAGAAATACACAAATGATATGCAACTATTATTTTTTAATTAATAAATCAATTATTTTCTATTTATTGTTTTTTACTTTTGTATATTAACAAAAAAGCCAATTTAATCTTAAATTCTTAATATGCTAGCTAGTGAATTTTGTAATTTTCTAAATAATAAATATATTTTTCTTTAGTATAATTAAAATATTAATTAATAATCTATAGAAATATATAATCTTAACTTAAAAATATATCAGATCTATTAGAATTTCTAAATGACATATCATATGCAAATTTGTAAATTTTAATTACTATGATAATTATTGTCTTTTTAGCATTTTATTCTGTAAATTATCAAAAAACTTAAATATCTTTTTTTTTCACAAATGGATTTAGTAGATCATTCATTTTATTATTGTTTACTAAATACCAATTTTTGTGATCATTTTTATTAATTTTTTGGTTGAAATTTCGTATGCAACACCATTTATTTGAATTACATTTAGCCAGCATGTTAAATAAAACTTAAATTAATTACTTGCATAGAATTGGGGAATGGCCTAGTGGTGTGTGGTCATTCCTTTAAATCTGAAAGGCATGGGTTCAAACCTTGCAACAAGCATGAGACTTAATTTTTATAATTTGTATTTAATAAGGGAGTAATGGTAGGATTTGAATGGTTAATATGTAACATGAAAATTAAAATTCAAAAAGATTCAAATTAATATGGAATATGTATGGTGAAGGCACAGCTGACAGATACAAATGATATGGGAGGAATGTCATCAATATCAGTCATTCCACCCATATCCCGTGCCGTCCAGCTTGGAAACTGATACAATATGCCCTATATCAGACATATTGTATTGATACTTTAAACCTTGTGTGAAGATACTGCTCAAGATTTGGAAGTTCTTAATGGGGTTGACCATATGGCATATGCTGAAAACTAACATTATACTGTAGGGAGGAAAATGCATTGCATGGTGGAGTTGAGAAAGGTCCTCAGAGGATAAAGCACTATGGGATGATACCAGTGTTCAGAAAACCAGATCGGACCAGCTGGTTTGATTGGTTGAACCACGACCTGGTCCCCTAGCTGGTTTGGTCATATCCTAAAAACCAGAATTCATAAAAAGTCGACCAAAACTGGCTGACTGGTTGGTTTAACTGGAGAACTGGTGAACTGATCCTGGTTTCATACAACCACCTAGGTCACTAAATGAATGGAATTTTCAAATGCTAATGGCAAGACCTTTTATTGATATGTATTGTCTTGTTACCATTAATCTATTTCTTTGTTTGTATTCATTTATGCCTCTTTATGGCATAGATTATGAAAAGGAGGATAACAAGAGGAAGGGAAGAAGAAAAGGGGAGTGAACTCGTGGTTTCAAATAAGGGCTCTTTAATCTGCTTTAATGAAAATAATAAGTTGGAACCTGAGAGGTTTAGGAAGTGCGAAGAAGAGAAGGTTGATTAGGAATGTATTCAGAAAGGAGAGACCAGACTGGGTGATGATTCAAGAAACCAATCAGTCAGTTGTAGATAGAAAGTGGATTAGAAGAATTTGGGGAATTAGAGGCCTCAGTTGGTCAGTTACATCCTCGTGGGGATCATCGGGTCGGATTCTCACTATTTGGAAGAATGGGGATTTGGATTTTCTGGGGAATTGATAGATTAGTTTTTAGTCTCCTTGAAGATAAACAGAGTCTTAGACGGAAGAGTGTAGGCATTGACAAATGTCTATGGTCCTAACTCTTATAGAGATAGAGCCTTTTTTTGGGAGGAGCTATTGGCTATTAGGGGTTTATGGGAAGGCCCATGGTGCATAGGGGGAGATTTTAACGCTATCAGATTTTCGAGGGAAACAAATAACCCAAACCAAGGGATCACTACAAGCATGAGAAAGTTTAATGATTTAGTTGACACCCTTGAACTGCCGATCTACTTAGTCCAAGCCAACAGGGATTGGGTGGACCGTATAAGAACCAACTCGGTCCACGTGATAACTTAAAGAGTCACGTGGGTCGGAGCAACAAAGAAGCGATGATAGACAGGAATTCCTGTCTTTCATCGTCCAAATTTGAATAGGTTGAAGAGGATGGGGTGCAATGGTGGGAATCAGATAGAGAAAGCCAAGGGAGTTCATTTCAATGGGTTACTCGAAAAAACTTCAAGGAAAATAGTGCGAAACAAAAATCTACGGATGTCTAAACCCACGTATACGAGGGGCCGACTGGAAGATAGG